GTTTGAATACAATAAATTACAATAAATGTGATTAATTACAAGTGCTAGAAGTGCATGAAGAGTGTTTCGAAGTGTGGAGAAAGACTTGTTGAAATTGGATCCCAAATGGGCTAATAACTCGGAAACATTGCGTTGAACCAATAAATGACTTATTTAGTTTTATTTGGGGTTAGAATTGGTGAGAATACAATCAAGTTGATTGATTACAAGTGATAGAAAAGAATCCAAAACCATTGCTTTTAAGAATTAAATGGCTTGGCTAATGTTGTTTGGAGTTAGAATATGTTAGAATACAATAAATTTGATTAATTACAAGTGCTAGAGGTGCATGAAGAGTGTTTAGAAGTGTGGAGAAAGACTTGTTAAAATTAGGTCCCAAATGGGCTAAAAACTAGGAAACATTGCGTTGAACCACTAAATGACTTATTTAGTGCTTGTTTGGGGTTAGAATATGTTCGAATACAATGAATTTGATTAATTGCAAGTGTTAGAGATGCATGAAGAGTGTTTAAAAGTTTGTAGAGAGATGATAAGTCTGTATTTCATTGCTTTTTTAGCATGCATTCATCATCTTTTCGGCATCATTCACTTGTTGATTCGCATCATATTGATCCCTTTCTGCATGTTTTACATACTTAGGTAGGTTTTATGCATATCATGCATATCTTGCATACATTGTGCATATTTGGAGTGTTTCAGGTACTTACGAGACATGCATAACGAAGCAGAGGAACAAGCGTTACTCGACATGCACACGATCGAGTGGGACGATCGAGTGAGAAGCAAGGATGCGTTGCAGGAACATACTTCACTCGATTGACACGACCGAGTAGGATGATTGAGTAGGCAGTAGAGATACATTGCAATTACATCGACGATCGAGTGAGCAACAGACGTATACAATCGAGTAGCTGATCGAGCAGAAGGGAAGCGAAGCAGAACCTCCTATCACTCGATGCACTCACTCGAGTGACATGATCGAGCAAAGCAAAGAAGTAGCTGATGGTTTCACAGGTCACTCGACACGTTCACTCGACGAACTCGGTCAAGTATGAAATGATGCAGAGAAGAAATTATGTGTTACTCGACACGCTCACTCGACCGACCGGACCATTACAACTTTTAAACGGCTTTTACGTTGTTGTTTTATGTTTTAAGGTTTTCCCAAACATTGTTATAAATAGGTCTCATTTGGATCGCCCAAGGGATCGAGTTAGTTTTTATTAGGTTTTTGTTGTTAGCCACCAAACGATCCTGAGAATTGTAATCGTGATTTCTTTTGAGTTATTGATATTTTGCAGTTAGTTCTTAAATCATTGTTGTTATTCTTCCTATCGTCCTTATTATTATGCTTGTTTTGAACGATTCGTGTTTCATGATATTTAACATGATTTCTGCGTCTGAGTAGTGTTAGGTTCTTGAGGATGGGATAGATTATGTGGAGGATGTTAGTTTGCTAGAGTGTTTATGTTAGATTCGTTTTGTTTCCCTTCTGGACTAGAGTTTTATTAGCTAGTTCTTCTCTGATCAATTGGAACTGGGTCATAGACATTTCATACCCGAAAGGTATATGATGAAATGTCTGAACCAACTAGTGCCAGAGATTTACATGCTTAGCCCAAGAGATTGGTTGGCTAAGATGTTTATTGACATTAATGAGATGTTTCTTTATGCCTGTTTACTACATGTTTCATCAATGAGAATTGAGATTAAGAAGTGTTGTAAATTTGATAGTTTCTGCCAAGAGATTGGATTGACTACTATTAGAAGTTCAGTGTCTAGGGATTAGAATGTTGCAGTTTGATAAACACTCGAAGTAGATTAGCATACTCCACTTACATCAATAACCTCATCCTCGGGATCTTCTATCCATTTTTGCTTTCTGCTTAATTCATGGTAGTATCAATAATCGTTACGTTTTGGTTTATGCATGGTAGTCTATGTTTTACAGCCTTACATTTATCGCATGTTTAACATGTTTGCTTAGTATCACTGAAAACCAAAAGATCATTTACACTTGCTTGACTTAATCATTTCTGATATATCTTGATTGCTAGCATCACACCTGATTGGATTGATACCTATTGTACTGCAATGACATGATAGTACTCTAGGGTAATTGATAGAAAAATCCTAGTATCAATTTGGCGCCGCTGCCATTTGGGTGTTTGTGTGTTACATTTGAGATTTCAGACTTGCTAAGATCAAGTTTTTACTCAACATTCACTACAGTTAGTCACTATGTTCCTTCTGTTTGTCTATTGATTCTGGTACAACTCTTGCTCAACTGACACACTCAACCGATAAGAGAGATAAACTGATTTGAGTTGTATGCACACACGGTCGCAAGGCACAGAGAACTTGTTCCAGCCCTCTGACCATATTGATCGCTTGGTACCTGCATCACGACAGCAACGCAACAGAGTTACACCACCCCAAGTGGAGATGGAAAACATTCAACCACCACCCCCACCACGGGCACCTACACGGATTGGAGCTGGTGATGCTCCACGCAAGCATACCCATCGTCAGGGTATAGTGCCCCCAGCCGTGGCGAACAACAACTTTGAGATCAAGAGTGGTCTGATCTCCATGGTTCAGCAAAATAAATTTCATGGTCTGGCTATGGAAGACCCTCTGGATCACCTTGATGAGTTTGATCGTCTCTGCAGTCTCAAGTTCAATGGGGTCAGTGATGACGGTTTCAAGCTACGTCTCTTTCCATTCTCTTTGGGTGACAAAGCTCATCAATGGGAGAAAACTCTTCTTCCAGGATCTATCACTTCCTGGGATCAATGCAAGCAGTCATTTCTTGCCAAGTTTTTCTCCAACTCTAGAACTGCACGTCTGCGCAATGAGATCTCTGGGTTCACTCAGAAGAATGGATAAACGCTTTGTGATGCCTGGGAACGCTTCAAAAGTTATCAGTCTCAGTGCCCCCACCATGGTTTCACCAAGGAGTCTCTCCTTAGTACTCTTTACTGGGGTGTTCTCCCAAAGATCCGGATGTTGCTTGACACTGCCAGCAATGGAAACTTTCTGAACAAGGACATCGACGAAGGTTGGGAGCTTGTTGAGAACCTATCCAAATGTGATGGAAACTACAATGAAGATTATGATAGAACCATCAGAACCAGCACAAATCTTGATGAGAAGTACAAGAAGGAGATGAAAGCTGTGAATGATAAGTTGGACAAGCTATTGATGAGCCAGCAGAGGAACATCCATTTCGTCTCTGAAGACGACCCTTTCCAGATTCAGAATGGGGAGGGAGAACAATCTGAGGAGATAAGTTATGTCCAGAACCTAGGTGGATACAATAAGGGATACAATCCTTATAAGCAGAATCCCAATATGTCCTATCGAAGCACCAATGTTGCAAACCCCCAGGATCAGATTTATCCACCTCCACAACAGCAGCAGCAAGGGCAGAACAAACCATTTGTACCCTACAACCAAGGTTATGTTCCCAAACAACAATTTCAGCAAGGTTACCAACCTCCAGCAGGACCACCACCAGGATTCCAACCTCAACACGCTCCGCCTCCTCAGGCGCCAGACCATGACATGAAAAACATGCTTCAGCAACTCCTACAGGGACAAGCAAGTGGCTCCATGGACAATGCTAAAAAGTTTGCTAAGCTGACTCAGAGATTGGACTGCTCATACAATGATCTGAACATGAAGATTGAGACTCTGAATTCCAAGATCAAGTATATGGAGGGCAAAACTGTTTCTACTTCTGCCCCAAAGCCTGGCCAACTCCCAGGAAAAGTTGTTCAGAATCCTAAGGAGTTTGCTCATGCCATCACGCTGAGGAGCGGTAAAAACTTGCCTCCCAGACAAGGACCTGTTGTAGTCAATGAGGACAGTGAAGACTTGGAAGGGGAGGATGTATGTCAGAATGAAGATCTGGTTGTTCCTTTGGAAGAATCAGAAGTCGTACCTGAAGAAGCTCCTCAACCTGCTGAGAAACATGCTGAAACACCTGCAGCATCCAAGGATAAGCCTGCGAGATACGTTCCCCCACCAAACAAACCACCTCTACCATTCCCAAGACGATTCAAAAAGCAGCAAGCTGAGAAGTATAAGGCTTTATTTGAAAAGCAAGTGAGAGAGATTGAGTTGAGAATGCCATTGCTGGATGCATTCGCACTTGTCCCTCTTTATCAGAAGTTCCTCAAAGATTTGGTTATGGAGAGAACAAAAGAAGTCCAGGGCATGGTGATATTGAGTCATGAATGCAGTGCCATTATCCAGAAGAAGATCACTCCCTTGAAGCTTAAGGATCCTGGATCCTTCACTCTACCCTGCTCACTAGGCCCCCTATCTTTCAGCAGATGCCTCTGTGATCTTGGAGCTTCTGTGAGTCTGATGCCATTGTCTGTGGCTAAGCGTTTAGGATTCACAAGATACAAGGCATGCAACATATCTCTCATTCTAGCTGACAGATCAGTAAGACTCCCACATGGACTCTTGGAAGACCTGCCAATAAGAATTGGTGTTGTTGAAGTTCCCACAGATTTTGTTGTCTTGGAAATGGATGAAGAGCCTAAAGATCCCCTGATTCTTGGAAGACCATTCCTAGCCACTTCTGGAGCTATCATTGATGTTAAGAAGGGTAAGATAGACTTATGCTTGGGAGAAGACTTCAAGATGACATTTGACATCAAGGAATCTATGAAGAAACCAACAATCAATGGCAAGGTGTTCTGGATAGAGGAGATGGATCAGCTAGCTGATGAAATTTAAAAGAAGAACTTGCTGAGGAGGATCATCTCAAGACATCCTTGACAAAGAGCGGATCAGATGGATTTTTTCATGCTGAGATAAAGGTCTACGAAACATTGCTGGATACCTACAAGGCAATCGATGATTCAGAACGTTTTGAAGAATTGGATCAGTCTGTCAAGGAGGTATGCACACTAGAGGATAAAGTCAGTGGCAGCCCGATCACTCACCCTACTGTTGACCCTGTCAATGCGACTGATGATGGCTGGTCAGAGTTAAAAGCTCCCAAGGTTGAGCTCAAAATTCTACCCTCAGGAATGAGGTATGTATTCCTTGGATCCAACTCTACTTATCCTGTCATTGTTAATGCTAGGTTGAGTAATGAGGAATTAGAGTTGCTAGTCACTGAGCTTAGAAAATATAGAAGGGCCATAGGTTATTCCTTAGATGATATCAAGGGGATCTCACCTAGAGTATGATTAATCTGGAAAATGAATCATACTCTAGTATTGAAGCTCAAAGGAGATTGATTCCTAACCTTAAGGAAGTTGTGAAAAAAGAAATTCTTAAACTGTTGAATGCTGGGGTTATCTATCCTATTTCTGATAGTACTTGGGTATCCCCAGTACATTGCGTACCCAAGAAAGGGGGAATGACAGTGATAAAAATGAAAAAGATGAATTGATCCCCACTAGGACTATCACTGGCCATAGGATGTACATTGATTACAGAAAACTGAATGCTGCATCTATGAAAGATCATTTTCCTCTTCCTTTCATTGATCAAATGTTAGAACGATTAGCCAATCATACCTATTACTGTTTTCTTGATGGGTATAGCGGATTTTTCCAAATTCCTATCCACCCAAATGATCTGGAAAATACTACTTTCACTTGTCCCTATGGCACATTTGCCTACTGACGCATGCCTTTTGGTTTGTGTAATGCACCTGTAATATTTCAGAGGTGTATGACCTCTGTATTCTCGGATTTGATTGAGGAGATGGTGGAGGTATTTATGGATGATTTTTCCGTGTATGGCTCTTCCTTCTCCTCATGTTTGTTGAATCTCTGCAGGGTATTAGCAAGATGTGAGGAGACAAGCCTAGTGCTCAACTAGGAGAAGTGCCACTTCATGGTGAACGAAGGGATAGTGTTGGGACACAAGATATCAGAGAAAGGGATTGAGGTTGATAAAGCAAAGATTGAGGTCATGGTATAGTTGCAACCTTCAAAGTCAGTCAAGGATATAAGGAGTTTCCTTGGGCATGCTGGGTTTTACAGAAGATTCATCAAGGACTTCTCAAAAATTGCAAGACCCCTTACAAGACTGCTGTGCAAGGAGGTCGAGTTTGTTGTTGATGAGAGCTGTCTGGAAGCTTTCAACAAGATCAAGGAAGCGTTAGTCTCAGCACCAATAGTCCAAGCTCCAGACTGGGATCATCCTTTCGAGATAATGTGTGATGCTTCAGATTATGCAGTAGGGGCTGTGTTGGGGCAGCGAATAGAGAAGAAACTGCATGTCATCTACTATGCGAGCAGAACCCTTGATGAGACATAAGGGAAGTATGCAACAACAGAGAAAGAGCTCTTGGCTGTAGTCTTTGCGTTTGAGAAATTTAGAAGTTACTTGGTAGGATCAAAAGTTGTAGTCTACACAGACCATGCTGCGCTTAGGCATATATACTCCAACAAGGATACCAAGCCGAGACTGCTGAGATGGATACTTCTACTCTAGGAGTTTGATATGGAGAGTGTTGATAAGAAGGGGATAGATAACGGCGTTGCTGATCACCTGTCCAGAATGAGAATAGAAGATCCAATCCCTATTGATGACTCTATGCCTGAAGAACATCTTATGGTTGTTGAGATATGCAAGAAGATGCATCAAACATGAATGGCTATGAAGGAGCTTCAATGTCTAGCAGTCAATTCAGAGAGTATGCCCTGGTATGCGGATGTGGTGAACTACAAGGT